GGTGTGGGTGTGGGGTGAGGTGTGGGTGTGGAGTGAGGTGTGGGTGTGGGGTGAGGTGTGGGTGTGGTTATGGGTCTTCTTTTTCTCTACACCCGCCTCCACGCACACCCAGACCCACACCCATCCACACCCCACAACCACACCTACATCCACACCCCACAACCACACCTAAATCCACACCCCACACCCACACCCCACCCACACCACATCCGCATATATAACTTAAATTTTGTCTTGGAATAATAAACTGGAATATTATTTATTTCAACTTGGAAAAAACCTTAGATAAGAACATAATAGTATATAGGGTGTCCAGTAAATGACTAGAGTTAGAAAAAATTGCATATCTCTCTGCTACGGCTCGAGCAAACAGGCTGATTTTTCTACCAATAATAGAAGCATGTTCACACTTTAAATCCATACAGACAAGATTAGAAAGAGCCTTTGTTAAGTACCACCAACGACCTCAACAAAAAAATTTTACTTTTTCACAGATAAGAAAAAAAACAATAGACTTAACAAAGGATCTCTCTAGGCATGTCTTTATGAGTATAAAGCTTGGACATGCCTCTATCATTGATAAAAGAATCAGCTCTTTTGCTCGAGCCATAGTGAAGATATTCAATTTTTTTGCGGCAAAGTGACTTTTGCGCTACTCCGTATAGTGTTCTTTTCCTATCTGTGAAAAAGTAAAATTTTTTTTGTTGAGGTCGTTGGTGGTACTTAACAAAGGCTCTTTCTAATCTTGTCTGTATGGATTTAAAGTGTGAACATGCTTCTATTATTGGTAGAAAAATCAGCCTGTTTGCTCGAGCCGTAGCAGAGAGATATGCAATTTTTTCTAACTCTAGTCATTTACTGGACACCCTATATAATGTAAAAAGCTGTTATCTATGAGTACACAAACACAACAACCCAAAAGTGATTTCATACAGAATGAGTCAGATACAACACTGACAAGAAACAGAAGTAATATGATGAGTAACATCTTATCGGTTATCTTCATCTTATATTAATGAGTTGTTAGCAAGGATGTAGTTTTGTAGGACGACGCAGGGGCACGCATCCTCCAGTTTTAGAGGATTTTTCGTTTTTTCCAGTTGAAATTGTATCTTTTTATGGGTAAGCTATCATTTGCCACAAATTGTGGTTCCCTAAATCAATCCCTGAATTGAATCCCCGTTTGTGGATACAAGAAACCCTATCGCATATTCTGGTGACCAAATAGGGATCAATTTAGGGATCTTTTTTAGGAACCAATTTAGGTAATTGCGATTTGTGGCAAATGATAAACATCCGTACAGCCAACTCCTACACCACACCCAGATCCAAAAGTGGTTTACTACCAGAGTGTGGGTGTAAGTGTGATCTTTAATAAAGTCTACACACTCACATCCACACCCGATATCTCTTGTTTCGATTAGTGAAAATCGTAGTTTTCCAGCTCTTGTCGTTCTTGAGTTACTACAAATATACCCACGGCCATTTTAATATTGGATAGGCAATATCTGTCTTATGATTTAACAAAATGACGAAAGTGATTTCTAAATAACTTTGAGGAGGTGACTATTATTTTTTCTCTCTCTTTTAGTTAGATCGACAGATAAACAAAAGCCTCATGATTATTAACATGATGCCGATTCTTTTGTTGTTGGTTACATATTATTTAAAAACTTTTGTTGACATTCGTCGAGATGAGGAATATGTAGCTAATAATGAAATTATTTGTTATTCTATCGTTTTTTTAAATATTTTTACTCTAATTGATACTTTTAGATTGCACATAAAAATATTTTAACTCTTAAAAATTTATTTAAAAGAATCAGAAATTTGATAAATCAAGATGAGTAGATTTCATTTATCATCAGCAAAATTAAACGAAACCCCGAATCATTACGATTTTAGAGTCGTATGGATTGATTCCAGTGGTGCACCAAAGGAATTAGAGGATTTCGATATGGATTTACGGAAATATGATTCATGTGAAAATTGTGAAAATGATATAAAGAAATTTGAAAGCAAAAATAAATTTCTTATTGTATTGAAAGATTTTATACCTGAAGCAGATTTTCAAAATTTACGTCAAATTCAATCAATTTATGTTTTAAAAGAAAACTATCAAAGTCTCACATATAATCGAACAAATCATCCAAAAGTAGTTGAAATATTTGAAGATATCAACACATTAATCAATCGATTACATAAAGATATCTTATTAGCGCATAGAGATTTACCAATAAGTATATCTCCTTTATATGAAATAAAGAATGAACAATCTTTAACCAAATTAGATGGAAATACATTAATGTTTTTATGGGATCAACTTTTTATTTATTATTTAGTACATCCTATTAAAGAAAATATGGAGGAATTAAAAACGGATATGTTAAAACAATGTGAAATAGATTATAGAGGTAATGAAAGCCAACTACGTCATATAAAATCTTTCGATGAAAAATGTTCCGATAAAAATGCAGTAATATGGTATACAAAAGGTACATTTTTATATCGAATTTGTAACAAAGCATTCCGAACAAGAAATACTGACTTTATGCGTAAATTTCGATATTTTATTATTCTTTTCTATAAAAACTTTGAATCGTTATCAAAATCACAAAACAAAAATATTTCACCTGTTTATCGAGGACAAAGTATGAATAAAACTGAACTTGAGAAGTTAAAGAAGTTAAATCGTGGAAGTTTGGTCTCGATAAATACAATTCTATCAACATCACGTAACGAATCAGTTGCTCGTTTATTTATTCATGAAGGTGAAGATGAAGATGCAGTCATTTTTAAAATTAATATTCCAAATCAAAATGATAACTCATTTAAACCATTTATTGATATTTCAGAAATTAGTGAAATACCAGGAGAAGAAGAAGTTTTATTTTTTGTCGGAACCGTTTTTTCTATTCATTCTATTCAAGATGAAACTGGTTCACCATGTATTATTGAACTTACTCTCAATAATGATCCATATGTCCACTTTAGAAAATTAGTTTCTATTTTGGCACCAGAATTTCGAAAGATCCTAGAATGGTCTCCTTCATCTACGGAAACAGATTATTCTCATAATATCATCCAAGTATTTATCAATACGATCATCGATCCATATATTCAGAGGATCAAAGAGAAGCACCATTTGATTATGAAAACAGACGATTATAACATGATCGAATAATACTATTACATATTAACAAAAACACAATTTTCATCAAACAATAATCTGACCATTATGATCTATATTCATTTTGCTTTTCTTTTCAGCAATTTAGGTCTATATGACAAAGCTATTCAATTATATGAACAAGCTCCCCCACTAACGGATAATTCTGCAAACAGTCCTGAATTCATAGTTATTCATATTATTATTGGTTATCTCTATTATCATTTATCTCGATATGATAAAGCTGAAGAACATTATGCTATTGTATTATCAGTATTAGACGAAAAAAATTTATTAACAAGTGAACTTTATAGACACATTGCTGATATCAAGAAGAAAAGAAACAACGACGATATTGCATTATCCTATTATCAAGAAGCATGGAACATTGCAAATTACCGATATATTCCTTCTTTACGATATATTTGTCAAGAAATCATCGATATACTAACAGCACGAGGCAGTTCTTATGATGCTCGTATTTATGAAATCCAATTACAAAAAATTGATCCGAATAAATACTACTATATATCATCATCAACGTTGGATGATCCAACTATACTAGATGATTGTCGATCCCGATTGAACAATGAACGAGAACCTATTGAACGTGCTGATTTATTATATAAAATTGGTCTACATTGTGTAGTACAAGAGCATTTTGAGGCAGCTCTAAAATACTTTTTACAGGCGAAAGATCTCTGTTTAAATCAGCCACCATCATGGAATCGTTTTTCTCAACATTTACCTACATTATTCGATAATATTGCAATGCTTTATCTATATTTTAAAGATTATTTCGAAGCATTGATAATGTTTAGAAAAGCTATTGACATACGTAGCATTTTTCGTTCTTACTAATTTCTATTAAATGAAAGTTAAAAAATAACTTTGGTAACTTTTCGTCTGAATATATACTTTTTCTGTCTGACTTACATCATCTATTTCAATAAACAAATAAGAGTGTCAGTGGGTGTGAGTATAGGTGAAGGTGTAGGTATGGCCGTGGATGGGTGTGGGTGTGGGTGTGAGTATGAATGATAATACTAAAACCCACACCCCACACCCACACCTACATCTATACCCACCCACACCCTCAAAGAGAATTTGAAATGAGAACTCAATTACAAAATATATTTAATGGTCCCCCAATGTCACAATACTATCGTTGAGTAGATCTGCTCTTCTTCAAGGCATCATTTATGATCAATATATAAATAAGTCAAAAAGGAATTTACGTCTGGTATAATATCTTGGTAGCTATATTGTGCACGCTATGACAATCTTCGATTTGGTTCTTACCATGAGGCAATTCAAAGGTGTGGGTATGGGTGGGTGTGGGTGTGGGTACAAAGAAGTGATAAACCCAAAATCACATCCACACCTACACCCACACTCCACCCACCCACCCACATCCACACCCTTGGTGATGATTCTTGATTTGAGTGTAACACATTTCAATTGTTTGAACTCGATCCGTGTTGTAACCATTCATTTTTCTTACAGTGATTTATTTTGGTGTGAACAGAGATGCACTAAATCCCAACCTGACATCCAATCAAATCCAGGGTTTGGGTTAGACTAAGCTTGGATTTAGTGCACTCATAGGTTAGGGTATGGGTGCGGCTGTAGTTGTGAAGATTTGTTATTATTGCAAGATGGTTGGTGGTGACGTTCGCCGTTCGCTGATCTACACATACGGGTGCCCATAGCCGGCTGGCGACTTTTTTATATCAGTGACTCGAAGATATGGAGTGTTGGTATTCGTATGGGTGGGATTACGGGTGATGTGAAATGAAAGTTATCATATAATGCAGAGATACATCGACAGCGGTGCTCACGTCTATATCAAACCCTTCCCCACACCGTAGCATTATTGCACTAATGAAACAAAGATAAGAAAATGCGAAAGAAGATACAGCAAATATCAGCAAGAAAAAAAATGTGCAAGTTTTATTTAAATTAATGCAGAGATAAGAGTTCTTTTTTTTATTTTGTTCGAAAGAAAATCTTCTGTGTGTTAACTTGGTAAAAAGAGCTAAAGTTTCTCAGGATTTAAAAGCATAAGAGAAGATGTTCTCATACAACAACCCATTTCTAGCTATAAGTTTGGTTATTCTGCAAGAGTTAACACCATATACTGAATCAATTGAATGTTACACATGCACACACGCGATGAAATTTCAATATTTCGGATCTTTGGTTACCCCTACACCTCCAGGTTTTTATCGTCCGATATCATTCACTCCCTACGATACATTAAACTCTTTTACTCCATCCGATTGTAAAACAAATTTAACAGTACGGGAAGATGTAAGTCACTGCTCATATTATCTATCTATTCAAAAAGACTTTTCCACTATTGGGATAACCAACGTCGGCTTGACACTCGGCAATAGATCCTTGGAAACTCAAAAGGACGAAGAATTTGTTACACTTGACATTAGTATTCGTCCTCACCCTTTTGTTATGCCAACAATGATTTACGAATACATTTGTAGAACAGATCGATGCAACAGTGTTGAAAATATGATAAAAATTTTAACAGCTACAACATTTGAGTTCGATCGGTATCATGAAATTCTAGCACAGCTATCTACAACAACACCTTATGAAAATAAGCCTTTACAATCATTCTCTTCTTATTCAAATGACCAACTCCTAAATGAGGAAGAACCGTTAAGATGCTCTCCATGTGGTAACAAAAATTTCTCTCAAACAAATCCCTGCCTTATGGCTCAAGCTATTACCTGTGGCAAATACATTTGTGGTGGCTGCGACTTTAATGTTCAAGACAGTCATGGAATGTCAATTGTCTTATACACAGGGTTTCGACATAAAGAAGTTTATTCGTTAAAAACTAAACTGAATTCGATGAACTTTCGATATTGGTGCGATTTGCCTTATTGCAACAGTGAAGAAAAATAAAAACAAATTCGGTCATTATATCAACTCAAGTTCAATATAGAAAAGCTTGAGCCAACGCAAGTTACGGAGAAGTTAACAACAATCACTATGTCAAGTACTAGTGTCGCTGTAGTATCTAGCCTATCGAATACTCAATCTTCAACAAATACCAATACAGAACTAACAAGTCCGAGCAATTCTGCAAGAATTGCTTTAACTGAATATCTAACGCTAGCTTTCCCTATACTGGCATCTCTCGCAATCAGTACGGTATAAAGAATACACAGTATTTCTGCCAACGATTGATACACATGCACTTGAAAGAATGACTGTTTGCCTGCCGAAATTAAGAGCACCACTTAGTCGAGAGTTTTATTTTCATACATTTTCGAAATAAAATCTAAAGTCGATGAAGCAAATGGTCGTTGTGGGGTCTCACGTAATGGCAATCGCAAAAAACAGGGATTTACTAGGTTTCTAAAGGTAAACGTAAATATTCTCGATAGAATAATTTATCTTTTCAGCTATATTTCCATAATTAATACGGCATGTTCATATCAAAATTTCTGATGGAATAAATGAAAAAAAATCAGTAAGATTTTTCACCCATTTTGAGGTCTATTTGATGTCTCATGGATTTTACTGACAATGCATTGTACAGGGTGGTCAGAAAAAAACTTACCCCTTTCTGCCATTTTATTTCTACATTTTTAGTACTCAATTTAAAAAAAAATTAAAAAAAAATAGAATTAGATAAACACCACTTGATAGAGGTAATTTTATTTTTGAAACCTTTCGCTGTAACTGCAGACAAAGAAGAAATTGATTAAGAGAGGGTCCGCCAGAAAGCTGACTAAGGTAAGGGAAAGGTGGCGGCGGAAAATTTTTAGATTTTGATTTTGATCATCTCATTCGAAAGCCCATAAACAGTTACTATGAGAACCAACCTATTAACTCATTTCTGATTTATCTGTGAGAAAATAGCAGGTACCCATTTTTCCACTTCTCGAGTCATTCTCTAAAAATCGGTTTTTTCAATAGTGACCATATTTTACGATTTTGGGTGAGTGTGAGTGTGAGTGCAGATGTCTTGAAGATAGTATTCATGCCCACACCCACCCTCGGGCAAAGTTAAGGAAGGAGTCGTAATGACAATGATTGAAAGCCGAAGACATTTTCGGAAACTCTTGGAGATGGTCCTAAAAATATTTTCCCTCGAACACGAATCTCATTATTTTCGATGTTCTATCTCTGCTGAAAACGTCAGCTCGATGGATTGTACTATTGTTGGAAACCAGCTATGCTCGAAAGGAGGTGGGAGCATACTGTTAAGTCGAATCCTAATAATTTTTATAGGACAGATAGTATTCACGGTAAGCTTCAGTTTAGTAAAAAAAAGCTCTGTATATAACTATTAAGAAAGCTGCGATACACAAAAAACAAAAAGTGTCCTAAAATTATGGCGTCCACTTTAAGTCAATATTTCTGACATTTTGCTTTCTGGTTGGTCCGTTTTTCTGAAGAGTAGTACGATGGATTTCGAGAATCTCAAATCTGATACGAATTCGCTGAATGTGATGGGAGTCCTACTTGGTTCAGAATTTATCATTTCCCCACATTCGATCAAATAAGCTAGTGGTTTTGCAAACTATTCGTAACCATTCGAATCCAGTCCGAGCCACTCAGAGCTACTCGGAGTGGCTTTGAATAATTTTATTTTTCTTTGTATCGTTCGCAAGTTTCGCTCTCGATAAAGGATATTTTATTGAAGGAGTGCTTACAACCGAGCTGACAATTTATTGCGACATTTTTTTAATATATACACCGTGTTCTAGTTCGAGCTACAAGATAACGCAGCGAACTGCCAGGTGATACAGATAATGTTTCACCTACCATCACTACGAGTTCTACTCATAAGCCATAATCTACGCCAACTGTAAGAACTTTTTTTTTGTTGCTGTTGTTGCTGTTTGCCATCTTTTCATTCCTTTTTTGTGCGTTATCGGTCTCTCAATAAACTTTCTATCTACCTTAGTTGTCTTCCTGCGCGACAATGCCGTTTCTGAAGAAAGTTCAGGTACACGATCTATCGTTAAAATATGGCTCCAATCAACGTGGCGTTGTTCCCCTTGAGCACATCCGTTGCGGAGAGCTGATGTTCGTCTGTGATGTGTCGGTCTGCAATTACTATCCTTTCGGGTGTGGGTATGAATGTTCTCTTTACTCCTACCCACACCCACACCCGTACTCATATGTGACGATGGTACTAAAACTATGCCGATTGCTCCTGCTGCGTCTTTTAATGATTGAAATAAAGTAATGTATGTTTTGATATTTTTCTTTGTTGTCGCCGAATAGCATATCGATTTCATACCTAAAGTTGGACGTTTATTAGCATAACAATATAAAGTTACTCTCAATTTCTTCCTAAAAAATTATAATAAGATTAAAATTTTTTAATATTTTATTTTTATTCGTAATATTATACTCATACTTATTAAAAAACAAATTTTAACTATGATTTATGAAAATAATGACAATGCTGGGTATTTTGATAATATTGTTAGATACGACATATCTAGCAACTTATGAGTTTTTGTGTGAAACTATGTAATTTCTTTTTTTATAAAAAGATCTGTTTTTTTATATAATGATATTTAATGAGTGCTTAATGTTTAAAAAAATGTTCGCTTGGATGCAGAAAGAGAAAATCGTGAAATATTTATATCAATAGCATAGTAATAAAGAACTTTTAATACAAAATAATATTAAATTAGTTATGTTTACCTGCATCAGGAAACCAAGCATGTATTGTATACGCTTGTGTAAAATATTGCGGTGCTGTTTTGAATGACCCATCTGAATGAATGATAGAGCATGTGCCTAAATTTAATTTAATCATGTAACATAACAAATATGGAAGATTGATTATTTATTCTGAATCATCTAAATGATAATATGAGATGAAATAATCTTTCTACATAGTATTTATTATTCGAGAAAAAAAGTTCATATGTAAATATATAGTCATTTATAACGATCATAGTAAAAAATACTCGAGATATAAAAACAAATCTTTCAATTGTTTTGAAATTTTGTGTTGTGTGGGGTGTGGGTGTGGGTGAGTGTAAATGATGGAAATATCCACACCCACACTCACGTCCACACCCACACCCACACCCACCCACACTCACACCCACACTCACGTCCACACCCACCCACACCCACACCCACACCCACCCACACCCACACCTACACCCACACCCACACTGTAAATTTATAACAGTCTGAGTCTTGTGGGTTCCACATTTTAGTCTCACAGAGGCTGCACTGATAAGTTTCTTAATTACAAGGGATTTCTTACAGAATGGAAGCGATTTTGAAGATTTGAGAATAAATTTCCACAATTTTCAAAGTTCCAATATAGAACTGAACTCATCAGTTTGAAATTTTCAGCTCAAAATCTCTCAAACTAGACATATTCAGGTATAAAACCACTAATTAAAGTCCTGAGTTTTCAAAAAAATTATTAATTAAACGGGGGGATCTTGTATTATGGAGGGGAGGGGAGGGGTATAGTTCTAATACAAGTGAACCTAATAAAAGTGAAATGAAAATTATCCCACGCTGAAAATAACTATTGCTGTGCCAATCATGTAATCGTCGGATCATCAAATCATACTTTTCATTATATCTTGAAAAATACCCTATAGTGATATAAACATGAGTATGTATTGTTTTATTTTTCGAAATCGACCAACTAGAATTGTTTATTGAACGACGAATAAATTTTCAATAAAATAATATTATCCCAGAGATTAATGTGTGATTATCCTGAGTGATTTTTTGGCAATAATTACGAGATTAAACAAAGTATATACATTGAATAAATGCTTTAGAATAAACAAAAAAAATGAACACTTGTATAAGACACAAATCTTTTGTATAATACATAATATATTTTTTCGTGATCTACCCCTCTCTTATATCCTTTTTTTCTCTATTTTCACTAGTGGATTTTGCGTTTTTATGTGATTTTTTCACTTGAAAAGATCGTTGACTTCAGACAGTATGCATTGTTTCTACACTTTTTTATAATATTTTTCTTCTATTTTGTTTGTGTTTATTGTGTTATCTCTAGTTCGTGTGAAATATGATTAACAATTTACATATATATCTGGACATGCTGTTTGCAGCTAATTGCCTTATGACTAATTGTCCTGTAGCGGATAACGAAACAGAATTGTTTCTTCATTTATTGAATGAGACGTAGGAAAGTGGTTTTTTTTTGTACAAAAGAAACATAGAAAAATGTTGTTATTATATCTCTTACTTTGAATCTCTTGTGGTATCTAAGGCTGATATTGCATAATTTAAAACCAAGACATGTAAAATATTACCAAAGATATAAAAGACAAAGTGTACAATGCAAATATGAAATGAAATGAAATCATTGAGTAATCAATGATTCGATAATATTTTAGTTCATTTGCATCAATTTTCATTCAATATGTGTTATTATGCCGACAAAAGTAAGAATTAAAATTGTGCCTGTTTTAAGCAATTTCTTTTTTTTTCTATTAACATTATCTATCAATATTTAGTAAGAATGTTAGCAGTTAGAAGGCTAAAAACAATACTATTTTTATGAATTTGCTCAATTGTGTGGTCAGTTCATTTAAGCGAATTAAACTTTTGATTTTTCCTCGCAGTTCACATTATTTACCAACGTTGTGACGAGAGTACGATTGTTCGCGATGATTTATTTAAAAATTTCCCGAATTTATATTATTAATATCATGGAAGAAAAAACACACAGAAAAACCGACTTGAAGATTTTTCTCTATTTCTATCAAACGATGCATCAAATATTCCATAATTTAAATGAAATGGCAGAAACCTGAACTTAATGGTTCCCGAAAAGCTATTTTAACGCTTCGTTTGAAGCACTCAGTGTTGCAAAATTTTTTTTTACACACATTAAAAGTAAAAAGCCCTAGTATGAATTGTATGATATCGCTAAATCCCTATTCTTTTCTTTCTCTCTTTGTCACAATGAAGTATGTAATATAGATAAACGAGACCACTTAGTCAATAGAAAAAAGAATCGCATTTTCATCGTTCTTTTTCAAACAGAATGAGTAGAAAAGTGAAGCATATATATATATATATATATAAATCGTATTTCTCCACATTTTTATCGCTTCTTTCTATTCTACTCTTCGAACCAAAAGGTATACAAAAAGAAATATGTCATCGTCCTTCACTCTCGATCAAATCCAAGCACTCATTCCCACACTCAATCAAATACCCTTACTTCCCACTTGCTCACTTCCAATCTTCAGTATCGGTGCTGGTTCCATCGTTAATAGTTCACACCTACCAGCTTATCAACTCGTTAAATTTCAAGTTCACGGTATCTATGATCCAAATCAAGATGCAGCTAAGAAGACAGCTGAAAAATTTCATATTCCAACTGTATTCAATTCACTCAATGAACTTATTTTGTCTGCAGAAAAAGAACCGACCAAAGTCATCTATGATATAGCAACACCTGCCACAGAAATCTCTAATATTTTGAAACAATTACCAAATAACTCATTTGCTCTCGTACAAAAACCAATGGGTGAAACACTTGAACAAGCAAGAGAAATTCGACGTCTATGTAAGGAGAAAAATTTGCATATTGGTATTAACTTCCAATTGAGATATGCACCACAAATGCTGGCTGCGAAAGATCTGTTGAAGAGAGGAGTTTTGGGAAAGAAACTGACAACAATTGAAATACATGTCAATACACATACACCATTTGAAAATTGGAAATTTTTAGAAAAGGTCAGTTTACGTTACTTTTGTTTTTTGAAAACGTTGGACAAGTGGTTTTTGAATATTTCGTCAACATTTTTACCCGAAAAATTGTATGTAACATAGTTTTATCTCAAAAGACGAGCTGGAATTTGTTTTTTCCTTGTCTTCGCAAGCTAACAGGACTCAAAAATTGTGCTTTTTCTTGGAGAATATCATTCAAGAATTTTTTCATTTCAGAATTGATTATTTTTTCCTTCGAAAAACTGTAAAGAATAAGTGATATTTTTAAATTGAACGAATAAAGGAATTTTTTCATGATTCTTCTTGAGCTGCAAAGTATACTTGGAACGTAAATGAAACGATCTAAAATTAGAACTTTCTGAACCAAAATTTCTCTGAAAAAAACCAATACCACGCACTAAGTCGAAACCATTCTCCAGTAATTGTTCGTCAACACTCTTTCAAAAGATTAGATTTTGATGACAGAAGATAGATAATTTTTTCCTAGTTAGAGATTTTCTTTACTCAAAAAAAATTTTGAATAAATAGTTTTCTACATATGTTTGATTTTTTTCTTTATAACATGAGTATAAAAAAATGATTTTCTCTTAAATTTTGTGCATTTGAAAAACAGGTCGACCTTAGTCTTGTAAGTCGAACATTTGTCTAGAAAAATGAAATTCAATCTATTGTGCTCTGATACTTTCAAAACGCAGTGTCGTGCATTTTGTTTCCTACTAAACAATAATTTACTGAAAATATGTAAAAGCACGTTTTCTGGATGTTTTCAAAGGATTTGATTTCTTTGGTCATTACTAGTGATGTATGCTCCTTTTGATTCTTGAAATGACGTCAAAACTGTTTCTTCAATAACTTAATTTCTGTTCTCTACTTTTTAGGTTACTCACATGGAATTAACTTATCACTCTATTCATTATATTGATCTCATACGTGATATACTTTCGCCATGGGAACCAACATCTGTTCAATGTCACTCGTGCAAGCACATCAATCAACCAAATCTGGATACTGTCCGTACACATCTCTCACTCACCTATGGAAATAATGATCCTCAACTTTTCGTTACTATACATACAAATCATTTTCATATATGGGGTATTCAATATGCTAATAGTTATTTGAAAATTGAGGGAACGGAAGGTGTTCTACGTGCACAGATGGGATTACAATTGGAATATGGTGATCAGAGAGATCAAGATCGATTAGAACTGTGCACAAATGAAATGAGAGGAGAGTGGATTGAGATTCCACTTGAAGGAAATCGTTTTCCAAATTCGTTTGTAGGACCAATGGCTAGTATCATGAGAATGGCACAAGGTGAATCAAAAGAAATTTTAACTTCAGAAGATGATGCTCTGAAGACAATGACTGTTGTTGAAGCTGCCTATCGAAGCACTTTAAATCGAACGAAAATTGAGTATGATAGTTAGGAAGGGAATTCATAATTTTTCTGTAGCTTTTTTTTTTATCCGAAATGTGATGCAATAAACATGAACGATAGTAGATATATCTTCGTTAATACCATATATCAGTTCAAGAGAAAGTATGACCATGTGGAAATGGTCAATTTGTCGAGTCATCATGATAGATTAATATGAGTGCAACTTGATTTGAAAGAGCATATCAGAATGAATCGAATAACAGTTGAAAAAGTTTGTCATATTAAAATCTGGTTCAAAAAGACAAACTCTATCTGGTGAAATATTTGGATTGAAAAATTCCACTTATTTGTACGCATTTGTGAAAAATGACGAAAGATTTACAGTTTTAAGTTTTACTCATTTATATTCAATGCATCTAATTTTTCCAATGTTTATAGTTCGGGTAAGAAACTACTAGAAGATCTTTGCTAATTTTGATTTCTCCGTCAGACAGAGAGAGAGAGAGATAATGTTTTAAGAAAAATAAAGATGTCTTATCATCATACACTTCTAAAGTATGTAGAAATTCGATAAATATTCTGCACGATTAGCCAAATATGCCGGAAACTTCAGTGCAGCCAAAAATTTCGCAGACAGACCAGAAGAGAAGGTGTAGCCCACTTCATCTCTTCGCATCGAGAGCCACGGTCCTTTGCTGTTTCGTTTTTCGCGAGCTTAGAAAAACTAGATCTATAAAAGAGATACTTATATTCCATGGTAGAAAGAAAGAAGTTGACGATAGTTCTTCCTATTCTTTTCTATGTAAAAATACATATTAATAAACCGTCATTTCTTTTCCTTTTTTTCTGTTCTGTTTTTTTTTGAATAACTAATGAATCAGATATGACTTGTAATATAAAAGAATTATATCCATAGAACTCGAAACAGAGCGAAGACTCTGATGGAGGACTACTTTTGGTGAAATGAGGTTAAGGGGTATGGGTGTGGGTGTCCGTGGGTTCTTCTTTCGTGTCCACACCCACACCCCGTCGATAGCGATATTTCTTCTTTCTCAAAAAGAAAAGAATAACTTCAGTCGAGGGTCAAGCGAGTCATAGCAACAAGCGTTACTTGTTTTGATAGTGTGGAGAAATAAAATAATAAAACATATTCCGTAACCTTCAAAAGAGATGCATCACGTTGTTTTTTGTGCTCTTTTCATTCTTTCTTCTCGTCTTAACTTTCTTTTCGGCCTGTTATCATTGAGATAGAGAGAAAGAATGATGCTCACTTTCATATTTTTCTCTCATAACAACACACATACACATATACGTTACATTTTTTTTGTTGATGCAAAAGAGCTCTGCTTTCAGTCGCCATTAGTCAATATTAGGTCAGAAATCCATGCAATACGACGTTTTGCTATTGTAGTAGCTGAAGCTATATTCATTCTAACAGGATTGACCGACTCTAAGATGATATAACTGCTTTCGTTTTCAATAACATGTGGTAACATGATCATCTGCTCAACCCATGCCATTTTAGGGTTACATCTTAACGGTCACGTTTTATAAAAATTTTAGATTATTTCAATAGGTGACAAAAAGGTAACATGGCTGAATCCAACGCTGACAAAAATAAAACCGTGCTTGGCTACTGGGCAATCCGTGCCATAGCCGAACCGATTCGTTTGATTCTTCACTATACAAAAACGCCTTTTACAAACAAAACATACGAAGTAGGTGATGGTCCACAATACAGTCGTGACCAATGGCTCAGCGAAAAGTTCAAACTTGGCTTAGGTGAGTTGTTTTGACGTATTTATCCATGCCTGTTTTGATTTCATTCATTCAGATTTTCCGAATTTGCCCTATTTGATTGATGGTGAATTTCAAATGACCCAATCCAGAGCCATTTTGTACTATCTCGGTCGTAAACATAATCTTATGGGTACAACTCCACAAGAGGAAGCACTTGTAATGATGCTCTGTGAAGAGGCACATGATGTTCGCGCTAAATTTAGAGCTCTTTGCAATAAACCAAACGGTGGTTCAGGTGCCGAAAAGAAAGAGTTTCTCGAGACAGTCCTCGGGGTATTTTTCAAGCAACTCGATGCACTTCTCAGCAAACAGAATAGGAAGTTTGCTGTTAGTGATCAACCGACCGTGGCTGATTTTCTCCTATATGAATATATCGATTATTGTCTCTCATTTGACGACGAACATAAACTGCTTGAGCAATATCCTAATGTTCAACGACTACTTCAACAAATTCAAGAATTACCTGAATTGAAAGAATATATTGCAACAACACATGCTCAAGTACCGATTAACATCAAATGTAAGTGTCGAATGAAAGCAAATATATTTATTAAATGAAAATTTTTATTTGGATTTTAGCTGCCAAGTTTGGTGCAACTGTCATCAAACAAAAGTGAAATTGGTCAATTGTCTGCCACTTTTAGCGAATGACTTTTAGTTGAAGATGATCGATTATTTAGAAATAAAGATTACATTCGATGCCATATGGCAGTTAAAAATATAAAATCGATAATATCTCAGCTAGTACACCCACATCCTGCCAGCTAGATGAAATTTTGATTTTGATTTAGATGGAGGAACTTGAGATCTATAGCTTAAGATACAACTCAAATAGTTGTCTTATTATATTCTAACGTTGAGCAAATGGAATCATGTACTTACATACGCAAATAATAGGAATTTTGCTAATTTTTTTTATTAAGTTTTCTCACTTTTTATCATAATAGCTTGACATTTTGATGGAAATGTAATGAAAGGTAAGGAAGTGCATTATATCTTGAACTATAGATTTGAAGTCCCTCTATCTAATGAGAATATCAAAATAAAAAATTCATTGTATTGGCATACCGTTTTCATGCGTTCTCAGGAAAGATTTGCATGAATGACAGTGTTCAAAATGATTTTGTCTTATGCATTATCAGAGTAAAAGATGTCTCCCTGTCTTCTCTTTCGATTGGTGAAAACTGCAGATCGCTAGCTGGCGCGGTTGTCAAGATATTCGAAAAAACAATGAAGCGATTTAAGTACTGAACCGACATTACTAAAATATACTCAAAACTGGAATTTTTACCGGTTATTATTCTATATGACGATATCGTTTATCTTGATGCTAATCGATGAGAAAAATTAGTTTTACAATATTTGCTTCAATTAGAAAGATTTTGATTTCCAATGTTACGAATATACTGACGATGCCAGTAATTCTCCATCATACCTTGATGAACCAAATCAATTTACTTCTTCATTTTGAATTGAACGAAAATAGATATTTGAAGTAGATTTCGATGCTGAGGGTATCATATATTCAGTCCGTCCATACAGGTACATCAAGGAGAGATTTTTATATTGGATAATTTATTTTTTTATTTTTTTACAGAAAACTTTCTAAATACAATCGATTAACTCTTGCATTTGTTTCTTCCGATGAATGTTTTGAATTATTCATTACCGATATCAATCGTATTTTATCTGTAACACCAATTTACCATCTTAAAATTCCAAACCTAGAGATTTTTATTGGTATACTAATCCAAATTACTGATTTATTACTTGAATTGAATTCATTAAAACTTCATTCTTTATAATTATCAGAACTAAAAGATTTATGTGAAGAAGAAATTGGCATTTTTTGTTCAACAGAAGATACAAGTACAATCACAAATGTGTATCTCGAGACTTTCCGACCGATTCCAGTAAAATCCGATGTGTTTTCGATGCCCGAAATCATCGATCTGGATCATTTTGCTAAGCTTTCAGAGACTTATGAGAGTGATATAGCCTGCATATCGGGTATCGGCGCAGTACTCTCTAGTCTAGACGAAACATATACATGAGAAATTAAAAAAAACATTTTTTTAAATCGCTTTATTAATTTATCTTGATAAAAAATGTTTAAAAAAAGATGTAGTCTTTACTCTTCATCAGCTATTTTAAGAATTAATTTTCCTTGTGCTTTTCCACTTTTGAATTTTTCATAAAGTGAATATAAAGCTTCTACACCATCCTTTCGCCAATCAAATACTGCATCAATTAACGGTTTAACTTTGCCTGTTTCAATATATTTTGTTCGACTATCATCAAGGTCTTGAAAATTTTCATTTAATAAGTCACGTATATAACCATGATGAGCTGAGCCGAAAACAGACCAAAATTTTCGATTTACTATTCTGAGACCAACTATAATCAATGTTTTCAATGAAATCACCGATGAGGTATCATCACCAACAATAGTAATAAATTGACCACCTTTTTTTAATATTTTTTGTGCTGATATCTATTGTTGTTCATCACCAACACAACCGTATACAAGATCATAATTTTGATCTAAAGATAAAAATCAAATCAAATCAGATAATAATCTAAATATATTTACCTTTAAGTTCTTCTCCAAAATCTTTTTCATTATAATCAATAACATGTAATTGATTTTGATCATTATTTGTCTCAACATTTGTTTGTATTACTGTATATCCTAGAAAGAATAAACAACAATAACAAAAAAAAAATAAATTCTATGGAATAGATGATAGAATACAAATCAAGTTTTTCCATCAGACTAAAATTTCTTTGTGAACATGTGACAGTTACATAAGCACCAACTGCTTTAGCTAATTGAATTGCATATAAACCAGTTGCTGTACTACCACCACAGATTAATATTTTACTTCCTGTTCCAATAGGAGGTGAAGCTTTTTTAAATAATGCTTGATAACTAGTGTCACATGCTAAAGGTACAACGGCTGCTTCTTCCATTGTTAAATTATTTGGTTTCATTGTAAATAATGATTCATCTCCACGAATATATTTAGCATAACTACCACCATGAATTACAAGATCTCCATAAACTTTATCATCAACTCGAAGACGTTTTACTCCTGAACCGATAGCAACAACAATACCAGCAACATCAGTACCTGGTGTATGAGGAAATGAATATCAAGTAACAAATGATAATTTTCCATTTAAAATTTTTCAATCGACTGGATTGATTGCAGCAGCATAAACTCGAACAAGAATTTGTTTAGATGATAATTGACGAGGTACAGATACATTTTCGCCAAGCGTAAGAACATCACGTATGTCTCCAAAACCACTTCGTTGAGCAGCTTTCATCACGGAAGGGATACGACTATCATCATTCGTATTATTCGTAATCGATTGAGCCATATTAATAAAGTGAAATCTTAAAAACAAAATAACATCAAATACAAAATCTGAGGTATAAAACTGATATGCTTCATTTCAGAGCTTTTAATAATATATTCCTGTATAATTTTAGTTTATCAAAAATTATAAAGTTCAGTGGTCTACAAGTAAAAAATAAGGCATCACTTTATCACATTTATATGATTCATATGACTGTGAATCAAAGGAACAAAAAAAATTTAAAACTTTATCTAGTTCACATAAAGTTCGAAGTACGAGTGCAGTCATACTTTTCTCTCGTTCTGTTACTGTGTATGACAAACAAATATTTAATAGGAGAGAAAAAACCTGTTACCCATGTACCTTTATGTTTATTATAAGACCGTTTATCATATTAAATGTAACGAAGTAATTCAAATATCCAAAAGTACACTACCACATACGAATAATGGACGTGCTAGAATCGAAGTTTATTTTGATACACTATACAACAGTATCAAACTACCGTCATATTTAAATTTTACATTCACATTGAAATATAATTAAATTATTAGTTTCACCATTTTATTTGTAATCTAGCAAGAGAAAACAAGTATATGATCAAATATTTAAGTACTGCTGTATTTATATGTAATCTGTGATTAGTCAGCATATACAAAAAGAATACTAGCTGAATTATATTTCATTAGATTGTATCTTTCTATTAAACATATACATTTTCGTTCTTTAAATTATTTGTTCTGTGTCAATAATATATTCTGTATTGGTATGTCTGATGTGTTGTCTTACTTTATTATTTTATGCAGCCATGTAATGATATTATACGGTCATACCAACTTCGAGAAATCATTCCGATAGGTAATACTTTATTGTTCTATTCAAGATGAACTCGTGCTCGTTTACTGTGTTTATATAAATCTTTGGAAGTCAATGTTATCCTTTTTTGAAATTTCAAGTGGTTTGTTAAATCCTAATAAATAAGCGACCTCCAGAAGTTTATTCAAATCACTATTAAAGTGTGGATTGAACAAATATATATGAAAAGATAAGATCGTGAACAGTCTAAAAATACGAACAGTTTCTATACTCATATATATTTATTCGAGTCAGTGTAGTTGGGAAATTGAGTTAAAGAGTCTAGCATGCAATTAAAGTGGAACACATGTTTACTTGGGCAAGACCATTCAGCATACAAGTCAGTGATCTATGAGTACATTCTTCTTCGTAACGAAAAAATTTGAAACAAAATAAAACCGAAAAAAATTATAATGAGCCACTGAATAAAATATAATGACTTGCTACTGATATCGTTATCTCGTACTGACTGTCCTCATAAAATTATGTAATCACTTGTTTGCGTCGCTACCATCTGTGTTATTAAGTATTGTAGGGAAATCAATCCATGTACAATTATCACATTCATTATCAACAAGAAAACTATGAATGCCAACTTCGACAATGGACGAGATAGGTATGACAGTTAATGGTAATTTAAATGCATCGAATTGATTCATTACAGCCGGATCATGTTCATTTAAATCTACATGGAGAACAATGAGATATAACTATTTTACTAGATACAATCGACCATGATAGTTTCGTCCATTTAGTATGCTTTCACAATATACATCATTCAATAACTGAATAGAATCAATATTGATTTGATTTAGATGGTCTCGATCGAGAGGTGGTATAACTAGTGTTTCTTAATGAAAATCACGATAAAAATTTAATGGACTAAAACTAAGGAGTCTTATCAATAGCCAAAGATTGGAAGACCTCCATAAAAAAATAGCCTTCAAGTAATAAAAAAGATAAGACACATGAATGGCTATATCGAAGAATCCTTATTGAATACTGTTGCATTTTGATCGTAAAGTTTTTCAGTCATCTGTATGTGGGGACAAATATAATTTGGCAAAGAGATAATTGGAATGAAAACTCTCTACAATGGTTAGTTTTCTAATAATTCGCAAACTAAGATGGTTCGGAAGAATTTCAATATAGTTCATACATATTTTGATTATCGTATTGCTGTAGGCTACTTTCTTGATTCTCCAAAATGTCTCAAAATTCATCACCGGGAAGTAAATTCGTATAACTGTGATAGGGATGGAGTGTGGATATCGAACAAACAATACACCCATCAACACTTTATGTGCGAACTTGATGGACAAGAAAAGAAATCGAAAGCATTAATCAATTATGTGGCATTGAGAGGAGATCCGTACCAAACACGTCGGGAAACGTGTGTGAGTGTGTGGAAACTGAAATTCGAATTGAAGTTAACTTACATATGTGATATATATGCAATCATTCATACTTCAATGACTCATTTTAATCTATTTCAAATGTATCATGCTTTCACTGCTTATTCTAAATCTCCCTTCTCTCTTTCTCTGTCTCTGCCATCTCTTTTTGATTTTTTTCGTTCTGTTATCGACCTTATTCTGTTTCATTTCTAGTCTCTCTAAATATATTTCATAATTTATTTATGCTAAAAATACGATATTTATTTAATGTAATACCATTCGAATTGGCTACTTCCCTTTTCTCTGTATCGAATAAAATTATTTATGATTATATGATGAAACAGCTATGAGTATGGATGACAATCTTGTTAAAAACCCTTTCTAGCGTTATGAATATATATATGATTATTAACGACGAAATTATTCTCACGCTTTAGAACATTTTCAAGACGACTGATAATTTTGACAAAATTGCTACTGTCTAAATAGTTATTTTTTATTTAAACTATGACAAGTAAGAAATACAAATTTATGAGAAAATCAGTTTAAATTTTCTTTTTTTTCATCAGAATATCGTATCCTTAACAAACTTGGTGAAGGTTCATATGGCCAAGTTTTCAAATGTGAGAACATAGCTGATGGATCAAACTGGGCTTTTAAAAAACTAGATGACTCTTACAATAGGTAGAGAGTCTTTTCGTTTTTTTTTATTGTAAAATATGGCATTCTCTATTTTTCAGTACAGATGAAATACAACGAATTCGAGAAATTCAAGTACTCAGACAGTTAAAGAAACATGTGCACATTGTCGAACTTCATGAAATAATTTAGTATACTTTTATGAATTTAGATTGATCTTGTTTAATATGTTATTTTTTATTTATTTAGTAACAAGCAAACAGGCTCGGTATACTTAGTATACGAATTGATGGATGTAGATCTTTACATGTATATCAAAGGTATAGATTAAATTTGAACAAATCATTCTATTGTTAGATATATCAAATAGATCGAAAATCTCCATTATCAAACAATATCATTACTAAATGTATATATTCGATTCTCATAGCACTTGAATATATTCATAGGTATTCTTGTTTATACTAATATGCAAAATAATTCTACATTATTATCATAGACATGGATTTATTCATCGAGATGTAAGTATAAAACTTTTAAAGATTATTAAATAAATTTTGAGCATACACCCAAAAATTTAATCTCCATTATGAACTTCGATTTTATAACAAATAAACGATCGAAACCGATTTATCTATAAGATTTAATATCGGTATCTGCGATTTAATCATAGAATTTAGATTTATCTTTAGATTTAGCGTATTGTTAGAGACAATTCTTGTGATCTGACATTGCAATACTTATCCAAAAATTTTTATTTTACTCCATAGAATGAAAATCTTGTGTTCTTTTATAACAAAAAAAAAATATTATACTCTTCGAAAAACTCATAACATGTTCGTAAGTTTGACTGTCTTGCATCAAATCATTTTATCTATCGAATCTAATATTTTTAGAAATAATTGGTCAATGTAAAATGATATTGATACTGTTATATGTTTAGATTTGATATATAAATAGATTACAATCGATATGAATCAATGTAAGGAATGAAAATAATAGAGAGAAAAGATTAGAATTTTGTCATGATTTATTCATATGACGATTACTTACAGTTGAATATGCATTCATTCTTTCTGAAGAACATAGGTTTTTTTCTCGAATTTCACATGGAAATATTAGTACAAAATAAAACTCAGCATAAAAAGTTTCCTAGGGTAAAATAAATGGTGCACATTGTTATAAGCATGACTAGTGTATGTCTGCTCACATCTGAAACATTTCAGTTAAATGAATAGAGATTAGTTCGAAATTATTTTAGATTTTTTTCCATTTATTTTAATAAACAACTTTTTATTTTTCATATCGTCTATGCTACGTATAAAACCTCCTTTAACATAGTGTTCGAAAGTAAGACATTGTTTGAAATATTTCCATAGGTGCAAGCTGAGAATTTATTGAACCTTACAAAACAGCGTAGTAACATCTGAAATAACAAAGCTTGTCTTCTACTGCTGCGATGTCTGAATATCTTTTCTTTTGTAAAAATCAGATTGTTTAATTTAAAATTTACGTATTGTTGAGTCTCGATGAATCCTCGCTGCAATATGTGTTCGCAAGGGAAAGATTTTTGTCCTAAGACATATATGTGTTTAAAACTGAAGTTCAAAATGAAGATTATTTCTTGAAATATTTTTTTATCTATTTAATATTCAATATAAAAACAAGGTCAAACCCGAGAATATTCTTGTCAAAGTAAAATATTATTTTCATTGTTATTTTTTTCTACATGTGCTAGTTCAATTAGGGAGAACATATCAAGTTGGCTGATTTTGGAATGTGTCGATCAATACCTGATGGACGACCTTTTACAGATTACGTTGCAACTCGTTGGTAAGAAAATAAATTACATTAAAATATAGAATGAATAAACTGAATCGAATTTATCTTATTCGAGGTATCGAGCTCCCGAATGTATTTTAACCAAGGGATATTATGGACAACCAGTGGATATTTGGTCAACTGGTAAGATGATAGAGATCTTTTTCTTATCTTATCTTCAATATATTTAATTAGGATGTGTTATGTTTGAAATAATGACGTATGTATTTATCTGTATACAATTTAATATTGATTTCTAATATAAGTAGATTGAAACCTCTATTTGTGGGTTCGAATGATCTTGATCAGATCAACAAAATTCATACAGTGCTTGGAACACCTACAAGAGAATTGCTTAAAAAATTCGAGCCACAGTAAATAGTTATTATTTTGTATCAAATGATTTTGTTTAAAGTGATTTCATTTCAGTCGAAATCCATCTATTAATTTCAATTTTCCATTTCAACAAGGTGTTGGTTTTGTTCAACAATTGACTATTTATTCGTTAGATGCAGCTGATCTTCTTATTCAAATGTTAATATATAATGATGAAAATCGTATATCAGCATCTAATGCTCTAGTACATCCATATTTTGATCATATTAGAGAGAATTTCTCAAAAAATTCTGAAATATATAGAATATGTGATGAGAAAAATATTCAAACTGATAAAGAATATATTTCACATATAAATGATATACCAATAATTGAAACAGATCATAATTATTTTGTCTCTGAACTACTATCGACTATAAAAGAAGAATCATCTTTATCGTATTCATTACAATCGAATAAAGAACTGCTTTCGAACCAGTTATTATGTAATGCACCAATTTATTTTAATCTAATAGAACAACTGTTAATATCAACTCATACGATCGGTACATTTCAGTATATGAATTTCATTAATATAAATTCGATATTCAATCGTAAGTTGTTTTTCTATTTATAAATGTTGATTTCCATTTATTCTTTTATGATTCTTAGAATTATGGCAAATCTCTCAATTAGCACAGACAAATATGAAAAAAATTCAAATTAATCTCGAATTAATCTTGATTCATATGAAGACAAATTTGAAAATAATTGTCAAAGCTCCGACATGGAAACTTAAAATACAACTACTAACAGAAGTATTACATTATTTAAAGACAAGCGGACAAAATTGTTTAACATTTACTAAGGAATTAAATGATAAATGTTATCGCATAAAAAAACAAATTAATCAAATAATTTCTACTATGAATAGTAGTTTATCAGTAGAAAATGGAAAAGTAAATCAATTTATTCTAGGAAATTTCATACAAGCTTTATCTTCTTTTATTCTTAATATATTGATCAAAATTGTTCAAATCATCATTTTTGATGATGGAAATCTTTTTTTAATAACTGAAAAATCAAGTGAAACCAATTTAAGTAAAAAACTTCAAACAAATATTCAATGCGTTTACTCAACTGATCAAATCGAAGAAATTGTTCAACTCTTATTGATGTTTGAAAATCAGACGGATAAAATCATTTCCCTAGTTTCTATCATCGAATTACATTTAACATTAATATTGAATAATCAAATCGATAGATTAATTGAGCAAATTCAAATAATCGATTCGAATTCGGCAACAATCTCAGAACAAAAATTTCTTATTGAACTTATCAAACTTCAATTACATCATATTTATGATGAATCATCTGCACTTTTCATCATGTTTTGCATCTATATTGATGTGTCAGACAAGTTTATCCTTGACAAATTTCACAACATCCAATTCATAGAATTATATCATAAACAAAAAGTTGAATATAATAACTTAATCGATACATACTCTACTAAGACAAATAATTTCCAAATACAATTAGCACAATCAATGCAAGAAGAGAAAACTAAATATATGATTGTCTATGAAAAACTACGAAATGAATTCAATCAATTTTTAAAAGATTTCGATCATGTTGTATAGCTAATGAAAATATCAGGAAATAACTCAAATTTTGTGATATTCGAACATTCCTTTGGTTTTTCTCATTGACTGTAAGCATTATGTAAAATAAAATAAACAAGATTTTTTTCAGAAAAGATTTTCACGACAAACAGAATTCATGTGACCGTTTTTTTTTAAAACTATATTTCAATAAAATTGGATATGGGACTGTGATATGGACGTCATTATTAATATGAATCTGGATATAGATAAGAGAATATTCACACCTGTATCAACAACCACACTCTCCTGTGAGTTTATAGTCCAACTAGCTTTTAAAGGACATTTTATAAAATATTGAGTACTCGTCAAGGTTAATGATTGATTGAATGAATATCTTCTTTATTTTTAGCTGTTGATGTTTTTAATAAATTTTCTAAATCTAAATATCAATGTTTTTCTTCTGCATTGTTTGCATCCAATTTATTATTTTGATAGAAAAAGATTGACAGAATAAATATTAATCTCAATCCTAAAGCGTCGTTCTAATCAACGGCAATTGTTGGTGTATGAATTTTAATAATTTTTATTAATATTTGTATTTTTAAGTAGAACATAAGCAAAAGTTATAATAAATGATGCATCCAACTCACAAATTAGGTCCGGATTCTGAAAGAATTAGACTTTACTATAGTTACTCGAAAAAGACACTTCTAAAATTAATATTCACCTAATGAATGAATTAGGGTGTGGACGTGTCTGTGAGGGAAGAGAAGATTGGTACCTACATCTATATTCTCGAAACTTACGAAAAAACACATAATCGATGCAAATAATAAACCTCTTGCGCTACAATCCAGTTGTTTCGAATTATTGTAACATTCTATTTCTTTCAGATTTCTTTTCATACATTGCAAGATAGCTACATTGTAAGGTCATGGCTTAAGTGAATTCATAGAAGTTTCCTGAATGAGAACGATGAGCATCAAAGAATTCTTGAAAGTTCGGTTGTCTCTTATACCTTGCATGCTACGAATATATTCACACTTGAACTCCAATTCAAAGTTCACCGCAACTCTGCAACAAAGAATATGTCGATGTTGCTTAAAAAAAGAAAAATTTTGATGCGTAATTTTGAATATTCGAAGTTTGGTCTCTTTTGACTACGCTCTGGCTTATTGGAAAGCACATTCCTCTGAATATTGATCGTCCTTATGTGTGCTAATAGATGTATTCGTCCAAGAAGTCTTCAAAAAGGTCTATGTCCTTAAATTCAACACTACTTCATCCCACAGAGACCGACCGACTCACTGATACTTTTGAATAATTAGATCGTCTAAAATTAAGCGTGTAGAAATTGATGATCGTCGATAATCGGTCGTATGGATTTTTAATTAATGTACAATTAACGAGCTTATAAAAGAGTAACAATTGCCTAAGATAAAGAATAAGATACTCGTTGACATTATTTTTTATGATTAAGTAATTGTATCGACGAGCAATATGATAAAAATTATAATAAAAGGAATACACCACATCACTGTTGCATTTTTATGTCTAATGCTGTAGACATGTATGTGTGTTCGTTCGGAAGCAGTAGACAAAGAAAAGGAGAATATTGGATCAAGTATGGCATAACATGGATCGTGTTTTGATTGGTTCATGCTAGTTAGGATAAGCTACGTACATTTGTATATGTAGCGTGTGAATGTAACTCATCTTTACCTATCTTAACCATAGTCTTGAACAAACAAACTTATGTCATGGCGACTTCTATCGATTCAATATAAAACGTTTCAAAATTCTTTTAGTGAAGCGGAATTAAAAGCGTTGCAAAAATGAATTCCAACTGCCTCATAAAAGTTTATTTTTTCTTTGACATCAAACGATCGATCGATAATCACGTGTTACTTTCTGATTGGATCGACCTATATTATCAGATATACAATACCACTTGCATACTTGAAACACACACATTGTTCTCGAAATAAAATACTCGAAGCCATCTAACTTGAAGAAGAGCATCATGGCATATTATCACCAATTAATCACGATCAGTGCACTTTTGTGTTTTGCCTTGGTGGCTTGTAAATCGATACCAAGTGCTCCGGCATCAGACTCTGTCTCACTCGCTGTGGATGAATCAGCACAATTGCCCTCCGGCATAACGGTGCGCATCGATTCAATTCAGGATAGCCGCTGTCCAGCGAATGCCATGTGTATTTGGGCAGGTCAAGTTGTAGTCAAGCTGGTTCTATCAATGTACAGAAACTCTCATTCGGTTGATCTCACTCTGGGACCGGGACAACAACTCGGTTCAACTCAGGTGACCTTAGGAGCGGTTACATATAACGTCATGCTTCAAGATGTACTACCATATCCTGGTCTTGGTTCTACTCGAGCGAAAAAAGCCACTGTGAAAGTGACACCGCTGTAGACTCGCGATGAAGTTTTATATTCCAGTCTACTGGCACATTTCGGCTTTTTTTTTGTATCTAAGCCGCTTGTTAACGTTAAAAATTTGATTAAATACAAGCATTGAAGAAACTTCTAGCACTAAGAAGAAATCGATCTCATATTATTTTTGGTGCACTCTGCAGGTGCAATTAATCTCAGACCATTATCTAAACATGTATATAAAATCAATTAAATAGTTTCTTGCCGTTTTGAATCTAGATGTTTTGCATATAAGTCTTTATTGTAATATATTCAATATAAATATTGCATAATTCATAAAGCCAAAATCACCAGTAGCTGCTATTACTCGAGAAAACAAATAATTATTAAAGCTATTTTGCATTATTCAATAACAATAACTTAATGAAGTTAAGATACATTATTAAAAAAACTTCGATAACCTTCAATACGTAATGCATCAAAATTGATATCTTGGCATACATAAAATGATAAAAGGAAATATGTCCATATAAAACAAACTAAAATTATCTTGATTAGCATAAGCATAAAAAAATCACAAATTGCATCGCATTAGTACTACAGTCTGCAGTTTTATATGAATGATTATCTTATTAATGTTTTTGTGCACATTCATACGCTTTATAGAACAAGATTAAAAGTTTTAAATTATTCTTAAAACTTTACAAATGCTATACGATTAATAACAACAATTAATGACATCATAACCATCTAGGATGTGAGTGTGGATGTGGTTGATAAGAAAGACTACACTCACACCGACACCCTCCAAAAGGTTTAAACTACTTAAATTTATGAAAGGCATTTGTTCGTGAAAATGTGCTCGCGGACCGTATATAGTGAAATGACGCTGTGGCATCTTTTGCCCAATGAATCATCTACTTATTTCCTTTTGCCAGTTGAATAAAAATATTTTTTTATAAGAAAGGGCAGGTGGCTGATTAAATTATTTGACTTCGTTGTATATGATATTTTTCTTTATTTTTTTTTGCATGCTATCAGATTGTTGATTTACAAAAAGGCTTTCTTTTATGTCATTTTTCTCATGTCAGATAAGAGCGATCGTAACAACAAAATTTTATTGTAATTTCTTCTTTTCCTACTCTTATGTGTCGCTGTGCTGCTAGCTGCCATCAAATAAAGTTTTATTATGGTTGAGCATATAATTATTAGACTGACAAGAAATTTTTTGCTTTTTTTTTTCGAAAATTTTCCTTTTATTTTTTAACTTCAAGAATACAACTAGCTTTCAACTATGTATGCTCCATTACTATCTTTGACTTGTCGCCAACGCTCTGGTAGAGAAAGGATCCGGTGTTCGTAGAAGCCCTAGGAGATTGGCCGAAGAAGTTGACGAGGTCTGTTTTGAGGTCGTTCTCGTCGTCGAATTTTTTCTCGCGTAAATGTTTAGACAGAGAACAGAACAAGTGACAATCCGTGAGAACTAAGTCTGAAGAATAAGGTGGATGTGGAAGTGTAACCCATCCAAGCTTCAGTAATTTTTCACGCGCCGACTTTGCAATGTGAAGTCTAGAGTTGTCACGTAAAAAATAAATTCTATCCTGCTACCCCTGGAGTTTTGCTGCAACTCGGTCTAATTACTCACAATAAAGATCAGCAGTGATGGTGCAGTCAGTTGGAAGGAGTTCCCAATGAATAATTCATTTTATTCCTCACCAAACGCTCACCATGATCTGCTTTGGGTGAAGGCCATTTTTGGGCGTTGATAAACCTGTTTGTCTAGCTCCCAGCCACTGTCGCTTGCGCGTATGGTTAACATACAACACTCCACTTTTTATTGTCGGTAATAAGATTGTGAAGCCATTGATAGTTGCGATGGGACGTCATTAATTTCATACAAGCGTAAACTCTGTGTTGAAGCTGATGCGGCGACAAATCATGTGGTATCCAAACTCTATATTTCCACTTTTTGCCTAGTTCGCCCAGATGTGTTTCCACTGTAGTATGAGAGCACTCAAGATGCTCAGCTAAACACCATGTAGTCAATCTAGGATGTTCTTCTATAAGCTGCTTTAAAACATCCATATCCATCTCTAATGGTCTTCCAGAATGAGGTAAACTGTCGAGTTCGAAGTTATCGTTCTTGAACAGATTGACCCAATGTTGGACCGTACGGATTGAGAGTGCATTCTTGCCCATCGTGCCGCATATGTTGCTTATTGCTTCCGTTGCTTTGCGACCCAAACGGAATTCATGAAGCAGAAGCATTCAGAGCTGTCAACGAGATATCATCATTTCTAATTCGAGACCAACGTCCATATTCATAGCTTCATTCTTGTTCGAAAGATATTCATACCCACCTTTATATACCCTTAGTATAGAAACTTCTAGAACTTTCTCGACTGTTCTAGGAAATTTTTAAAAAAACAAGCAAAAATTTTCTTCCCAACCTAATACATTAGGGTAAATAAATGGCGATTTCTCTTTTTTTTCAGTTAATCGTCGTATACTGTCAGGCTGATAACATGAGTTCGTGCTTGGAATCTCTCTCTATCGAAGTTCTCTACGAAATTTTTGACTGTTTATCAGCCCATGATCTGTTTCGTGCATTTGCTGGTCTTACAAGTCGGTTCAATATTGCA